CTAAAACCAACATGCATGACTCGAAATCAACGGGAGGCGAAAGGTTTTACCTTCTCACAGACGGGGTATGGATTCCTAGTGACGAAAGCTACTGGATCGGAAGGGTAAGTCTCTTTTGCTTTCGTTTTGTTCTCTGGTTGTTGATGAATGATCTTCTGGATATTTCCCTTTTTTTTTTGTTCTTTTGGGTTGTATTCTGTTTTTTTATGATTGAGAAATTTTCGTTTTTTTTTGGTTCTTCTCCGTTGCCGATGACCGAGGGCTCCCCCTTACCCCTTCCTTTCCTTTATATTTCTAGTTGATCGATTTCTTTCCAGTTTTCTTCTTTTCTGTTTCTGTTCTCGTTTGGTGTGTTTGCAGGGCTCTGGAGCGAGCAAGTCACGGGCGCGAGCAGCCTGGGCACAGGCGATGGGGAACAGTCCCAAGAGACTTCACGTGGGTAGCACCCGGTTGGTTCGTGCTGTCTTGGAGTTCTGAGTGCGTTAGGAGCCGTTGGATCACCTCCGATCTAACGGTGGAGGCTTCTGGGAGGATTGAGAGTCGTTGGATCATGAAGCCAGATCCAACGGTGGAGGCTCAGCTGCGCATGGAGATGGTGACAGGAAACCCTAACGGGTCTAGGGTATCCTCAAATGGGCTGCTACTTTGGGCTTGAGCCTGTTGTATTTTAATTGTTTGGTTCGGCCTGTAACAAAAATGGCAATATTTAGTGCATATTTTATATATTTAATTATTCAATTATTTAACTATTTAATTACTTATCCGTATATATATATATATATAACTACATAATACCAAACTTATGCTAATAACCGAAATTGCAATAAAAACAATAATAAAACCCGATTAAACACGAATAACACCCCGGACAAATTGAGCGTCTACAGAACCCAATAATGGTGAGGCCTTATTCCATAGGTTGAAAAGTTCTTTAACGCGTTTCATCAAACAAATTTTGTGCCCATCCGGATATGGAAGTTTAGCCAGCCGAGAAAGAATGATTTTTTTATGTATGAGTTGGTGTGAACAATAAACCAACCTACTTCTCTCATCTCCCAATTTTCAACTTCTACATAGCACGAAGCTAAGGACATGTTTGTTTGATCCTCAAGGATTAAGGTCGACAATCAATGAAATAAAATTTGTGTTCATCTCGACTGTTGTTGAAGGAGAGAGGAAAAAAGAAAGTGGAGGAACGTTATGCAATCCCACATCAGTAGCAAACAAGCAGCTCGGGGTTGGTAACTTATATAAAAGAAGATGGGGGAGAATAGGTTTAAGCATCTTTGCGCTTGGGGCAATGTCGAGCTTGAATCGAGCTTGAATCAAGCTCGAGTCTCGAGTTTTAATTGAGCTCGAGTCTCGAGTTTTAAACGAGCTCTTAAATTTTTTTTGAGTTCGAGCCTTTTCGAGTTCGAGTCGAGCTTGATAATTTTAAGCTCGCGCGTTTTCGAGTTGAGCTGACTTTGAAAGTTTTCGAGTTCGAGTCGAGCTCAACAATACTCGAGCTCGACTTGGCTCGTTTACACCCCTAGGTAGGGTCTCCAATGTTTATGTTCGTTTATGTTCGTGTTCATTTATATTCGTGTTTGTTTATGTTCGTGTTCGTTTATGTTCGTTTATTTATTAAATGAACAAACATGAACAAATTATATTCCTTAATAAACGAACATGAACAAAAAAATTTGTTCGTTTATGTTCGTGTTCGTTTATTTATTAAATGAACGAACATGAACATACCTCCGTTTGTGTGCGTTCGGTTCGTTTACAGGCCTAAAAACATTATATATGATATAAATTTTGACATTTTCATTGTTATAAATACTTCAATCTTACGTTGAGGAATTCTGGAAACCAGAACGAACAATATCTAACATGTTATATTTATGTATCTATATTATACTTGCATTAAATGCAGAAAAGAGCTGCAGATTCAGGTAATCTGGTTCTGAAATACAAGGCTGACTTCATAAGAAATTGTGAAGCCTGCAAAAAAAAAAAAAAAAGTCACATTTAGGAGAATATACTTCACTTTTTCCATAAAATATAGGCTTAAATATACAAAAGGTGTCCAATCTATGCCCATTTTTCTAGTTTAGTGTCTAACGCTTATTTCATTCCAGATTAGTATCTAATATTTTAATCCGTAACTCAAAATGTGTTAAGTTGTGACGGACCATTAATTTCTTTCGTTAAGTGACACGTGTCAATCTAATAATTTTAAATTTTTTGTATAAAATTAAAAAAAATAAAATTATATATATTTTTAAAAAAGAAAACACATAAATTTTGTAATAACTCCAAAATTTTGTAAACCTTCATTTCAACATCTCAATCCACGCGCCGACTGTCGCTCTTTGCATCGACGAAGCTCCACCTGACCTCTCCTCCCCCCGGCATCCAAAACCCCTATGAAATCGTGATTGATCAACAGTCGATCGACGTCGAATCAACGTTTTATACCCTGCGAACCCTATGATGAAATTCACAATCCCAAGTGATTTCGACGTCCAATCGAAGAAAACTACGGCAACTTATAACTAGGATGATGACAAGGATTACGTCAGCGGCGGTGGTCGTGGCCGAAAAGGGCGGAGGCGGCGGTTTAGTGTTAGGATTTGGGGATTTTAGGGACTTTGAGGCTTTTTTTTGTAATTTAAAAGAAATAAGGTTTTTTATAAATATTAAAATATTTTTAATATTCTTTTAAAAAATAAATTTCAAAATTTACGAGATTGTGACACGTGTCACGTAACAGAGAAAACTAACAATCCGTCACGGCTTGACCCATTTTGAGTAACAAAATAAAACGTTAGACACCAAACTGAAATAAAATAAACATTAGGTACTAAACTGAGAAAATGAGCATAGATTGACCACCTTTTGTATATTTAAGCCTAAAATGTAAAAAGCTTTTTAGTTTGGTTTCCACTGCTGGTTTCCACTGCCAAAACTTGCAACAATGGAACTTATTCAGGTACCCATTTTCCACTTTTTATCTTTGATTAGATTAAATTTGTATTTATAATTTGATAAGTAATGGAATTATAAATATTCAATAAATTGATATAATATTCATTTTATATAAAGAGATAGATGTATAATATATAGATACAATTAAAGTTATATTTATAATTTGATGAAAAATAAAATTATAAATACATACAATAACTAATTTTTTAAATCAATTATATAAAGAGGTAGCATTTTCTATGAAATATGCCAACTTATGTTTTTTTCTTATGTCAAAAGTATATTTTTTTGGAAAATCGCAACCTTCAACTAATCTTCAAAATCTCAATTTCATAGGTAATTTCCAACAATAGACTTAAATACATTTTCGTAAATCTAATATCATAATTTTAATTATTTTACATAATTAAATTTTGATTTCATGTTTACTATGATTTGGTTATAATATCGTTATTATCTACTATTTAGATTGGGAAGTAAGTGTTGTGAATTTAAGATTAAAAAAATCCTTTTAAATGATTAGTCATTTTGAGATGAATCCCCAATGTGAAAACGACATGTCTTGTTTTATTGGGTATATTTGTTGTACGTCAGTCTAATATAAGACTAAAAAAAGGTGTTACCGAAAATGTTAATATTTTTTTAACATTTTCGGTAGAGCACTACTTAAAATGTTAATTTTGCTACCTAAAATGAATATTTTTGATAAAAAAAATAATATTTTAGATAACGCCCGATATTAATATTTTCGATAGAAAAAAATAATATTTTAGATAACGTTCTACCGAAATATTAAAAAAATATTAACATTTCCTGTAACATATTTTTTAACTTTATATTAGGCTGTATTTTCTTATACATCCTCTGTTTTATCACATGGCTGCAAAGCCATAAGTAACATGGCATGTGGGGAATGTAAGTGTAAAAACTACCATTGATGAGTTGTTTGAGATTAAAATGAGAGGAAATGTTTGAGCCGAGAGCCAAAAGATTTCTGGTTGAGTGGCTTCCTGAAATGGCTCAATCGAAAGAGACTATGACCGGACACAATAAAGAAAAGTCACTCACAAGCTAAAGCAAAGGCTTCTTTTTTAAAATTTTTGCCCCATTTGCCATGGATACACAGTGGAAGATTTGAGGGAAGATGAGCTGAACCTCAATAATTTGTACCAATTTCTCGCGTTGGAGACCCACATGCTAATCGCAAACATTGCCATAGTCCTTTTTTCAAACCCATTCCCAACCCAAGTTGTGGTCCGACTTGCCTTATCCCATTCAACTCTTCTTTTATTTATCTAAAAAATAAATAAAAATATACTAATATTTAGTTGATTTAACGAGACGAGTCATTAGATCCCTTAAATAAGATCATAGATTCGAATTATAATATTGTAAATCGAACAAACTACTTTAGAGGATCGTCTGATAAATGAGCCTCTAGAATACTGAATCTAAATTAGTTGATCAATTTAAAATTCATAGAACTGAATTAGGGGTGCTTATTAAGTGAATCAGCCACGAGATGAGTAGTGTTCGACTCGAATCAGTACTTGTTGAAAAATACTCGTTAAGCTCGCAAGAAGTTTTGCCTTATTTTTTTTAAAAATGAAATTATATGTCTTACTATAAATATAAATTAACTCTAAAATTACAATTCATAAATACACCAAATTAACATATCGAACGCGTAATTCGTAAACTTATCAAGTCAAATTAGATCTTATTTCAATTAGATTCGTTAATATCTTGAGTTGAACTCAAATTCGAGTTAAATTAATTAAAATCAAAAGCTAATCAAATTTTGATTAAATAAAACTCGAACTATTCCTGAGCTGTTGAACATAACTAGGACCCTAAACTAACATAAGAATTTACCATTTCTTAATCTAATAGACTGTTAAATGCTACAGCGTAGTAACATTTTGATTTATCATTTTCTCTTAACCAACTTATAGCGTGTAGGTTCCCTTGTCGTCGTTCCCCCACCTCAAATATTACAAGGATAATGAAAACCAAGTAGCCCCCACCATTTCTCCCTATATTTGTAGTTGAATCTTTGTAATTCCACTCACATCTCAACCTTGTTGAATTCCAGTACTTCAAACAAAGTCCAACAATGCCACCTTCATATTTCCAAATGGACAATCCGGCCGCAATACTGTCTTTACTCCGTCCAACTCCCGGCGATAAGCATAAAAAATCCAGTAGCAGCGGCGGTCTCTTGCGCATGTTCAAGCTCTTCCCCATGCTAACCTCCGGATGCAAAATGGTTGCGCTATTGGGTCGACCACGGAGGCCTTTGCTGAAAGACAGTGCTAGTACGGGTACTATTTTCGGGTATCGCAAAGGCAGGGTCTGCTTAGCGATACAAGACGATCCCCATAGCGTGCCGGTGTTCATCATCGAACTACCCATGCTCACCAGCTTGCTTCAAAAGGAAATGGCCTCCGATATAGTGAGGATCGCGTTGGAGAGCGAAACCAAGACGCATAAGAAGAAGGTGCTGGAGGAGTTCGTGTGGGCGGTGTTCTGCAATGGAAGGAAGATGGGGTATTCTATCAGGAGGAAACAATTGTCCGAAGATGAGCTCCATGTTATGCGGCTGCTCCGAGGTGTTTCGATGGGTGCCGGTGTGCTTCCGATCCCGAACGACAAGGAAACCGACGGGGAATTGACGTATATGAGAGCTAGATTCGAGAGGGTGGTCGGATCGAAGGACTCGGAAGCTTTTTATATGATTAATCCGGATGGCGTTGTGCCTGGTCCAGAACTCAGTATTTTCTTTGTAAGATCTCGTTAGAAAAAATTATAAACTAATACCATAGAAAACTATTCTCTTTTAATGTTTTCACATTTTTGAGAATAAGATGAACACTGTCTGAAACTGGACAATGAACATGGAAATATTCAACAATGGCAGAAAGTGTTTCTGGTTTAGTATATTTTGACAGCAAACATGTCGAATTTGGGTTTTGTATTAAGATTATTATCTACTTAAATACAAACCAATTTTTATCCTAAAATCGAAATAGAACATCCTGTCATGTCTGAACATTTTCTTTCACAGTGGCTTAAAATTCTCGCCACCAAGAACTCACTGTTTACTTTCTCATAGGCCAAATTACGCTGACAATCTCCTATATAAAAAAATGCTGACAGGTGATTTTTTTTAAATATTCATTTCTGACACAGGAGAATAAAAAAGTTGTATATGACAATATAAAAAGAAAAAATAAAGTTACTTTTATCTGATATCTATCTTTATCCGACATCGACATTGGAATCCAAACAACCTAGTTATCGAGTAGGAGAGAAGAAGAAACAACATACGAAAACAATATAGGAAAAAGAGAAGAAGCATCCTACTACAACAAAAAGAACAAGCAACAAACAACTAAAAAACTAAACAATCAGTAATAAAAGAAAACACTCGTGACGAGAGATTTACTACAGTCAACTGTGATACCCATTTCGACAGGAAGAACAAAAGATTTGTTGGATTGATAAATAAGAAAGCTTCATATGTGGGCTTAGAGGTCAGATGGTATGGGCAAATACTCAAGCCCTAAAATTAATAAAAGGCCTTAGCATAGACCGAAAAATAAAATAAATCCATACAAGTCAATGACCCGGCCCAAGAAGAAAAGAACATGTTGAATTTGGAGCATCCTCGTCGGCTTTTGTTGTCCTCATCCTTTAACGCTATGATCCTGCTGGAGTTCATTTTCAAATTCAAGTGTTCATAGGTACTCGTTCTTAATTTCTTTCCATTGCCTTTTGAAATAAGAATTATAGTTTGTTTTACTGATTTTTAGAAATTTCAATAGCAACTAGAACATGAGAACTGAAGGGTTTTTCCCTTCTGGTTTTGTTTCAAATGCAGTGTATATTAAGCTCTGAATATTGGGTTCAATCATTGTGTGGCAAGAAAAAGGATAAATACCAGTTTTGAGATTATCTTATTTCAAGAACAAGATGAGTTCTGCTCCTAAACAAAATTCGTTCTGTCTGAAATGGCCTTGGGATGTAAACAAACAGACCAAAAGCCCTAACCTTTGTAACTTTGAAAGTCCTTGGTTATTGAAGTCAATGCAAAATCTTGGTTCCCTTGTTCTAAACACCTTCATCTCGGTTTCGGGATCTTCTGGTTTATGGGTCAATAATTTTAAGCCTATCCAATTGGCTAGCGGTGCTACTCAAAACGGCAACTTGAAGTTCAAAGGGAGAACATTGAGTCCTCAAGAACAAGGGGAATCAGAGCAGAGAGCTTTCGCATCCGCACTATCGAGTGGGAAGGAGGCGACCGTGATTGAGTTTTACTCACCTAAATGTAGTTTATGTAATTCGTTACTTAAATTTGTCATGGAGGTGGAAAATAGGAATTCAGATTGGCTCAACATTGTCTTGGCTGATGCTGAGAATGAGAAATGGCTGCCTGAGGTACTTCTCTCCTAAATTTCGACAATATGTTAAGAGTTCGATACATGAATATGGCTTCAAAGTAGTAAATAAACATGGAAAATTGAAGATTCTGATTTGAATACCACTGTACTTTATGCTAGAAAAGATTAGACATTTATGGCTGGTGTTAACAGGTCTCAGTTCTATATGTCAATATTATCCATTTCCACTTCTGCTTAAAGACAATTCTAGTAACTAGCAAGTAGTGATGAACACTTGAACTTTTCGATTTTCCATGACGACACTGCACCACTCTTTCACTAATTTTAGTTTAAGTTTTAGGGATTTCCCCATAGTTTATGGCTTTAGTTAGATATAGAGTTTAAAGACCTCTTGAGTAAGGTTGGTAGTCAACATACTGATGGCATGTGAAAGTGGTTCTTTATCATATATTATTGTAGAAACTCTGAGAAAGCTTCATGTCAGGCACTGCTGTATTCGAGGTTCATGGAATGCATGTTCGTTTGCTATTTGAGTTACCGAGGAAGTTTGTTTCAACAACGTTCTAGTTGTTAAACCAGAACATATAGAAAGTTCCTCGAGCTTCTTCTTGGCCATTTCCCATTTCTTAAGATCATGTATCATGGACTTATGATTATCTTGTGTTTTGCTTCCCTACAATATGTTTGCTTTACATGCAGAGCAAACTTAGTATTTTTCCGGCATTGATTTGAGACTTAGGAGAACCATAATTTGATGATTAACCATGTGTCTGCCCGTGCAAGTCGGTAGATTATTCGTGACCTCAGTCCAAGTAATTTGGTAATCGGTACAAGTTCTGGCTGATTTAGGTGCATTCATTTTCATGTAGCTTCTCCATTACGACATCAAATATGTTCCCTGCTTTGTGTTGTTGGACAAAAACGGACGTGCACTTGCAAAGACGGGTATTCCGAGCAGTCGGCTGCATGTAGTGGCGGGTCTGTCTCATCTTCTCAAGATAAAGCGTCCGGCATGCAGCAGTAGCTCTCGCTCATCTTCTCATGAATGACTTGTTTTCGCCATTGTAAGTTCATGGAGCACATGTTTCATCCTTGGGGCGGAGGGCATCAGAGTCGCTGTTAAGTAGGTTTTAAGAAATCCTTACAACGAAGAGTTAAACTAACAGCTTAGTTACTGCTAGTTTAGTCATGAAGATCATGAGCTCTTGCTTGTTTAAACGTGCATTACATTCTACTTTAATTAATTAGAGGTTTGAATAATTTAGAAAGTCAACTCATGGCTGTAAATGCCAGCTCTGCACATTTCAACACAATTAAATATGATTCATCTCTTATTGGATTTCTAGTTTTGTATGCTCCACATTTCGACGATGGTGGAAATGAACCGAGTTCGAATGAATAAAGTTATACTCGTGTTTGTTTATTTTTGAAGGTGTTCATGTTCAGTTTGTATTCGTTTAAAGCGTCCGGCATGCAGCAGTAGCTCTCGCTCATCTTCTCATGAATGACTTGCTTTCGCCATTGGAAGTTCATGGAACACATGTTTCATCCCTGGGGCGGAGGGCATCAGAGTCGCTGTAAAGTAGGTTTTAAGAAATCCTTACAGTGAAGAGTTGAACTGCCAGCTTAATTACTGTTAGTTTAGTCATGAAGATCATGAAATCATGCTTGTTTAAACGTGCATTACCTTCTACTTTGAATAATTCGCAGCTTGTATTAAGAAAAAGTCAACTCAAGCCGAGGCTATAGATGTCAGCTCTTCACATTTCAACATAATTAATTATGATTTATCTCTTAGAATATATATATTAAGAAATAGTACGGACAACTGTTTTATTCCAACCAAGCTATTATTACCCTTCTGGAAATGAAGAAATATAGAGACGGCTCTGAGTTTTGGGTTTAAGATTTTGTTACATTAATCTTCATTGGTTACATAAAGATGGTCAACAAATTGGTGAATTATCACTATAACAACTTAATTAATTAGCTTTCTCTATTAAATTACTAATCACTATTTCTTCTGATACATGAACCAACCACATTATATTTCATCAATTATGTAATTATAATATCCACACTTAAATAGTGCTCCTGACTCGATCGATATTGTTTTATCATGTCGATTGCTTTCAAACTGATTTTACTAAAATTAATCTCATATTTAATTCTTAATTAATGAGTTTTATTTAACATTTCATTGTTCTAAATAAAAACAATAAAAACATATCTTATGAACGAAGAGAGAGAAAATGACATGTTTTTTTTTTTAAAAATAGTAACTAAAATAAGAAATAAACAATAGATTAAGGACTGTAGGATAGTTTATGCATTTTTGAGTTAAATTATTATTTTTAGCTTTTTGAAGCAGTTTGTTTCGTCTTCTTCTTATTGTTTAGTTTACGCTAACCATTTAGGATCTTTAACTCATTTACTCACTCTCCTACCAAAAGGCTGCTCGCCGATTAAACCAACGAACCGACGATGGCGTTTAACGAACTTTTCGCCGGAGAAATCGTAACTGAACTTCTGCGGCAGCTAAACGAGATCACACGCAAATCCTGTTTCTGCAAATCTAGCGCGGAAAATCTCATCAGAAGCGTCCAAGAACTCCTTCCCGTCATCGAAGAGCTCAAGTGCTCCGGCATCGACCGCCCCGCTTTCCGTCAATCTCAACTCAATCATTTCTCCGAGACCTTACGCGGCGGTCTTGAATTGGCCCGCACAGTCCTCGATTCCGGCCGATGGAACGTCTACAAGAACCTCCAGCTGGTGAGGAAGATGGAGAAGTTAGAGAAACAAGTAGAAAGGTTCATTAGCGGGCCGATGCAGGCTCACTTTTTAGCCGACGTGCAGCACATGAGGATCCAAACGATGGAGCGGTTCAACCGGTTGGAGGAGCGGCTTGATTCGATGAACGCTGGACCAGGAACATCAGGTCGACAGGTAATCGAAGTTGAAGAGGATTCTAATTTGGGAATTTTTGGTGGAATTGGTTTGGAATTAGGGAAAAATAAGGTGAAGAAGATGTTGATTCAAAGAGATGATTTAAGCGTTGTTGGAATTTGGGGCATTGGAGGATCGGGGAAAACAACTTTAGCAAATGAAATTCGTAGAGATAATCAAGTTCGAAGTAAGTGATCCAACATGATCTCTTCTTCTTCTTCTCCTTTTGTTAATGGCCTATTATGAAACAAAAAACTAACAGGTTCTGTTTTTTTAAGGTTATTTCAACAACAGAATCTTGTTTCTAACTGTATCACAATCACCGGATCTGGAACAATTGAGGGCAAATATTTGGGGATTCATTACAGGAAACGAGGCTATGAGTACTAATCACAACTTTCTCCCACAAGGGAAGTCACAGTTTGAGTGGGGAAGTGGACCGCAGACTCTGGTTGTTTTGGATGATGTCTGGTCGTTGCCTGTAATCGAACAACTAATTTTCAAGGTCCCGACGTATAAAACCCTTGTAGTTTCAAGATGTAGGTTCCCGAAAAGGGTTGTTAATGAAGTTTATGAAGTTGAGTTGTTGAGGGAAGATGAATCTATGTCCCTGTTTTGCCACTCTGCTTTCGGACAAAAGTCTATTCCTCCGACCGGCAATGCAACTTTGGTCAAACAGGTAATTAACTAATAATGAATTTGAAGGATTAGTAGTTGATATAGTTAAGCTGGCCTTTATTTTTGCTGATGTTTGTCAAATTTTGGATTTGATAGATTGTTAATGAATGTAAAGGACTTCCATTGGCACTTAAAGTGATTGGAGCTTCCTTGCAATACCAACCTGAAATGTACTGGATAAATGCAAGGAAAAGGTTATCACGAGGAGAACCGATCTGCGAGTCTCATGAAAGCAAATTGCTCGATCGAATGGCAATCGGTGTCGAGTGCTTGAAAAAGAAGGTTAAGGAGTGTTTCTTGGATTTGGGATCATTTCCTGAAGATAAGAAAATCCCCCTTGATGTTCTTGTAAACATGTGGGTTCAAATCCATAACATTGACAAAGAAGAAGCTTTTGCCATTCTTATGGAGCTTTCTGATAAGAACCTACTCACTCTGGTCAAAGATGCTCGGTATGTTGCTGAATTCGAGTGGCTTTAGTTACTTGAGGCTTGAGATATGTTACTTAGTTGGAGTGTTTTTAGTTACTTAAAGTCTTGGAGTCACTAATTTTCTTTTGTTTTCGGAATTGTATTCTGCAGGGCTGGAGAAATGTTCTGCAGTTACTATGAAATTTGTGTTACTCAGCATGATGTGTTGAGAGACCTTGCTATTCATCTAAGCAATCAAGGAGATGTGAATGATCGGAAGCGGCTACTTATGCCTAGAAGAGATACCGAACTTCCAAGAGAATGGGAAAAAAACATAGATCAACCATTCAATGCTCAGATTGTTTCAGTTCATACAGGTATTACGATCACTTTTTCTGGATTTCCAATATCAGTATTTGTTTAGGGGGTATAATTTGTTGTTTCACTGTCATTGCTTATTAAGTTCAAATTTCATCAATTGACAGGAGAAATGAGGGAAATGGACTGGTTCCGCATGGAGTTTCCTAAGGCCGAAGTACTCATCCTGAATTTTTCTGCGGACGAATACTTCTTGCCTCCTTTCATAGATAATATGCCCAAACTCAGGGCACTGATCATTATAAACCACGGTACAACCGAAGCAACGCTTTTGAATTTTTCAGTTTTTACTATTCTGGCAAATTTGCAGAGCCTATGGCTTGAAAAAGTGACTGTTCCTCGATTATCCAATGCCACTGTTCCATTGAGGAACTTGCAGAAACTATCCATGGTTCTCTGCAAAGTTAGTAACAGCCTCGATCCATCAGTGCTTGACCTGCCCCAGATCTTCCCTCGTTTGTCAGAGCTCGTAATTGATTATTGTGATGATCTGATTAAGCTGCCCTTGAGCATTTGTATGGTGAATTCCCTACAAAGTATGAGCATAACCAACTGCCACCGGTTACGTGAATTGCCAGCTGATTTAGGCATGCTGAAGAAACTACAGATACTTAGGCTCTACGCTTGTCCAGAACTCAAGATGCTCCCTCCCGACATCGGTGAGCTAGTCGGGTTAAAATACCTTGATATCTCACAATGTGTTAACTTGAAATGTCTACCCAGGGAAATAGGTAAGTTAACAAGCCTGGAAAAGATAGACATGAGGGACTGTTTACAGATCATGAGTCTACCAACACCGGCTGTTTTATTAAACTTGAAGTCACTACAGCGAGTTATATGCGACGAAGAAGCTTTCGATCAGTGGAGAGTTCTTGAAAAGGCGGTGCCGGACCTACATGTTCAAGTTGCAGAAAAATGGTATAGTCTGGACTGGCTCAACGGGTGAAAAATAGTGCTTGTATCTGTCAACATCAATGTACATAATCTTTTTGAAATAAATGCAATTGTTGTTAGATTAATGGAAAGCCTGACCATGTAAATGAAAAAGCTTGCTTCTTTGCTACAAAGAACAATTTCCTTTTCCTTTTCCTTTCCGATAAAAGGTATCTTTTTTTTATCAGTCGAGTGACAATGAGGCCCCAAAGGAAAGAAGGGAAAAAGAATAAAATTGGAGCATAGGGATAGGTGGCCAGGAAGCACAAGTGGGGATTGCTTTTTGACTCGATAAATCAATGGAGAAATCGGTCACAGATTCTGACCTTAATTGCTGGCAATAATAAGATTGGGATTCAAATTCAATTCCAAACCACCTTCTTTCTCACCATATTTTGATGTGGGTGTAACTAAATTGTACTATGTATAAGAAGATTATGTTACATCAAGTATCACTCAAGTTTAAATTTTTCACAAAAAAAATTGAATGAATAATATAACAAATGCTAAAACTAAAGTCTAAGATTTAAAACATACAATAATATATAACCACTGATAGTAGAATTAAAATATAATTTAAAATTATACATATATTTTGTTTCTTTTACTTGAATTTTCAGATAATGATTACAATGGGACACATTTGAATATGCCATAATTTAGTTATTGATTTGAAGTTAAAAGCATGGTTGGATGAATCATTTTCTTTGTATCCATTTTCTTCATTTGTTTAAGAGAAAATAACTTACCGAAAATGTTTTATAATATATGATTTTAATTAATTTTTTTTTATTTACAAAAATAACCAACACAATCTCAACACGAACTCCTATTCCGCAACATAGTTTCCAAATTCGCAACGCGAACATGAAAATTTTCGCAACGCGAATTACCGACATAGGTAAACACAACTATCGCAACGCGAATTTCATTTTTGCAAACGTGAATTTCGCAAATCAAATTCGCCAATTTCGTAACTTAATTACCGATATAGGTAAACACGGTAGAAAAAATTCGGTAAAAAAATCTGAATTTGAAAATTTGAAAACTGAGTTGCGAATTTGACAAATTCGTGCTGCGAATTTGACAAATTCGTCCTGCGAAATGTCAAATCTCGCCTCTTAAAGAAAAAATTAAAAGACATAAAATGTACTGGAGTGGTTTTCAACTTGGGACATCTCAGTTACTAAGTCCAAGTATGAATCACTCAGCTAAACCTACGCCTGTAAATGAATTGAACAAACACGAACAAGCATATGTTCATGTTCGTTCATTCGTTTAACTTTAACAAAAAAAACGAACTGTCGAAATGATTTTTTCTTTAATAGGCGAGATTTTACATTTCGCAACACGAATTTGTCAAATTCGCAACTCAGTTTTCAAATTGGCGAATTTGAATATATGACCGGATTTTTTTTTACCGTGTTTACCTATATCGATAATTAAGTTGTGAAATTGACGAATTCTTTTTACGAAATTCGCATTGCAAAAACAAAATTCGTGTTGCGATAGTTGTGTTTACCTATATCGGTAATTAGCGTTGCGATTTTGAAAATCGCGTTGCGAATTTAGAAACTGTGTTGCGAAATTGGAGTTCGCATTGCGAATTTGTTGGTTATTTTTGTAAATCCAAATTTTTTTGATTAAAATCGTATATTATAAGATATTTTCGGTCACATATTTTCTCTTTGTTTAATTGATGTAGGTGTGAGTAGAGATGCACATAGCCGGATTTAAATCCGATCCGGTTTTTTCACTAAGTCAAAAAATCGATTTATAAAAAAACCGGTTCGGATCATAATCGGTTTGGAGGGCCGGATGATGTAACCGGTGTAACCGATTTCAGTTTGAAAAAACCGATTTTTAATCCGGTAAAAAATCCGGTCATCTAATTTTTTAAAACCCAGACCAGATTTTTAAACCCCAGTTTTTAATCCGGTAAAAAATCCGGTCGTTCAATTTTTTCTCAAACCGGTTATACTATCCAGTTTTAAAATATTCGATCCGGTTTAAAAAAATCAAGTTTTAAAATATCCGATCCAGTTTAAAAAAAATCAATTTTCTCTAAATCTAATTTCTGATATTTTTTTTAATGTAAAATTATATATTCAAATTTTTTGTACCTCTTGAAAGGAGAGAGAGAGAAAACGAGTGAAGGGATAGAAAACGCGTGGATCGTACAAAGAGAGTCGTAAAAACATTACATTGAGATTAAACCCTAAAAAACAGTCAAAAGTGTAGTCATGGCCTTGGAGTTTGGTCAGTAGCTTTCACTTGTCTGTATCTTCGGATCGGTATCTTCTTACTCAATGGGTATGTTGTTCACACTTCACATTGCTCCACACTGCTTTACAAATCTATTGGTTTCTTTTTCATTCAAACAAATCCTTTGTTTTATCAATTCTGACGTCCACATTTTTTTATTATGATTTAAACCATTTAAATTCTATCTTATACATAAATTAAAAAATAATATATATTTAAATCAAGTGAATATATATATATATAATATTTAGATGAGTGAAAATAGATAACTAAGATTAATAGTAAGAAATGAGAATATATTCACTGAAAAAAAACAAAGAATTAATCTCAACCATCTATTACCCATCTAATGATTTCCAAATCTGTGTAAAATTAAAATATTTTACATTGTGTAAGTGAATATAACATATATATATATTGAAGTTAAACTAGTTTAGAGTCCAACTTAGCTACTAACTTGTTTTATTATTAAAAAAAAGAAGAAACAATTATTTTATATATTTTAATTAGATTTGAATAAAATACAATAATAATTAGACTATAGCCCACAACCCAGATTAAGGGAAAAGAGAAAAACCCTAGATCCAAGACCTAGTCAAAATGGGCCAATTCAAACTACCCTTATAAAACAGGATACCAAGTTAAAAACCATTCATTCTCTTCTCAGGTTTAATACTAATAAGGCGGCTCTAGAAGCTCCATCAATGAAGTGGCAAAACAAATGTCACTCCTCTTACAAAATCACAACGGTCTTATGAATGTTTGAACTAGGGACGTGAATGAGACAGGTTTTTACTTGCCCAACCAGAAATATTTTTGAAAATGAGTACACATACATTAATGATACAATTTTCGTATGAGATAAATATAAACAAATATTAATGTAGGTATAATCAATAAAATAAATAACAAATTTTAAAAAATTCAAATTTTAAGGTAAACTCGTATTCTTCAGGCAAAGGATAGATCCGCCATTGGATTCGTGAAGATTGAATTGCCGCTCTCGACTAACTCAGTTAAGTTGACGGTTTTATTAGTTTAATTGGTTAAATTATTGGCTATAACGATTACGTTAATTGGTTTAAAATATATAATTGAACCGACCAATTTATCCGACTCGATACATTTTTATAATATATTAAACACAACAAACATGCTGCATTTGGGTTGTCTGATAGTTTCATATTAGTAGGGTTGCCAAAGTTCAACTCGAATGAAGGGAACTGAACAAGGCCTACGGGTTCCGTTGGCTTCAGACAACCTAAAACATGCAAGCACCTTAACACTCATCTATACGGTTCACCAACTCACTGCAAATTCCTATCATATATTCTTAGTCATTCCTAAAGAGGACGACAAGTCTGCTACTTACAATGACGACCGATTCCCAATACTATCACTATTTCAGCGAGGGGAAAGATCTAGACAAACTTGAAATAACCCTAATCTGATCATAACAAATATGTAATCTAAGCATACGTTTTAATGAACAGAAGTCATTATTTTGAGAAAATCGAAAATAAAAGAACCACCGATACAAGTTAACTGGGGGAGGGAGCAGCAGCAGGAGAAGAATCTCAAAACAAAAACAGGATGAGATACATAAGCATGGTCTGCCAATGTTACAAGTTTACAAGAAAAAGAGATCCTAGCATTGCTGTTATTATAAAGGAGTTGAAACTAATGCAAATGAGTGGAAGTTCTTTCATCACTCATCTTTTTTTTTTTCCTGGTAAATTTTATTTACAAACCAGTCAAAGATTTGGTCGGCATAACCGTCATGCATATGTTACACTAATCAACTGAGGAATAGACAGGTAATGAAGTATAGAATTGATCAGTAAATTTCACCAGAAACAAAAGCATCTTACATGGTTTTCGACTACCATTTGACATCCAACGTCAAGGCTTCTTGAGGGACTAGAATAGATGGGAACTTTGTAAAAGAAATGTTTGACAATAAATTACTCCATGAGACAGTATCTACACTAACAAAAGATCGAACCTTCTTAATCGTAAGGGGCTTCAGTTTCTCTCCTTCAACTCTAGCCATTATATCAAACCATTGTCGCTCGACAGTAGGCTTCGTCCTCCATTCATCTAACATACCACGAACACTCTCATTCTTTCCGATGTTTTTTTCCAGCTCTAACTGGAAATGAGTAATAGGTGATGCCTTAGTTTTCACCTTAAGAGAACCGAAAAAACCCTTTTGATTATTTTTATCACCTAGAAATGTCCTAAGGACTTTTTGTAACCTGGTGATCCTTGAACTTATAGAATCTATAAGGAAAGGTTGTTTCGAGTAATCACGAGCGTCATAACACTTCTCAGGCAGCAGCTCAATAGTATCCTTGGATGGGAAATGAGCATCAATTCGGGCGTCAGGTTTCCGAGTTCGGTAGGCAACAAGAGATACCGACCCTAGAACACGAACGGGAAGTAATGGTCTACAAAACAAATGCCGGAAGGGCCAATATCCACTTTTCTTCTCCTTGACATCATTTCTATTCGCCGGCAAACCAAAATTAAGGGTATGGAAAAGAGAAATCTCGTGAGCTCCACTTAGTTGTAAAGTGATGCCTTCACCAACAAGGACTCGTTTCAGATCAGTATGTGAATTGTTCAGCTGATGACCAAATACCCAAGTTTCAGACTACTACTAATTGATGATTAAAATTTGTAAATGAAACAATAATTAAGCTAACGCTAAATCGTAAGCTATCCTAAACATTATCTAAGTAAAAAGTTAACCCTTATAATTAATGAGGATATCAAGAGGGGAAAAAAGGAAGCATACCGGGAAGAGGAGTGAAGATTGGTGACTGGGCGAGAGGAACAATTCGAAGGGACCTTCCACTGTAAAGGGATCTAGTACGGCTGAGGAGTTGATTTCG